GTGCCTCTTTTTTAGCATTGCGCCAAACGCTCCACTCCATGTTTTTGATGAATATCGGAAACAGCAAACCCGCATTTTCCTCTAGTATGCTACACAGCTGATTGTATTTGGAATACTTAGAATAGATGGCTCTCCAATTTATGCAGCTAGAAGCGTTTTCGGTTGGTTAGACTAGTGCAGCAACGTTTGCGGTGGGCATGCAGCTGCGGTCCTGACTGTAAATTTGAATCGAGTGGACAATTACAATAACTCGGGTTGGCTCGGCTCGGCTCGGCTGGAGCCATACACGATTAGCAAGAAATTTTAGCAACTGCAAAAACTCGGCTCAGATCGTCTCATAAAGAAGCCACAAAAAATTTTTTCTCACGATGGCAAGTGGGACTGCCCCGAGACGGATGGCGGCAGTTTGGATGTGGCAGGTGGAAGTGAAGGGGTATGTGGCAGGTTTCGTTCGAGACAAAAGAGGGGGGAAGAAGGGTGTAGGATAGGTGGATATAAGAACTAAATGGCATAGATCCTTTGCCGACTGACTAAGCAACATACACTTGGAGGGAAGAGGGAAGCGATGAAGAACGGAAAGGATGAGGATATGTGCTCTTGGTTTTCACAGTTGATACCTGTGGTAGGGAAAGGTAAATACTGTTTGTTTGAACAGTGATGTTATAGTAGGGATGGAGAAGGGTCTATATCTTGTTTGTTAGCAGAATTTGGGACAGGGTGAAACGGGGAATGAGGATGCCGGTCAGGACTCGAGGCAAGAACTGGAGAGAGCAGTAAAGAGAAAAAGATAATACTGCGCACACAAATAAAAGTAAATTAAAGCAAATCTGATTTCATGAATAAAAGCAAAAGAAATTGAGGTTTTGCTAGTGGAAACTGATCCATAAAAAGCCGTCATCAGTAGGGAACTTGCCTATTTATGAAACTGGTGTTTAGGTAAAGCTGTTCCACAAAGCCTGTCATCAGTAAGGGACCTGCCTACTTATGAAACTGATGATTAGTTAAAGCTGTTCCACAAAAATCCGTCATCAGACTTCCCTATTTATGAAATTCATGCTTAGGTAAAGTTGTTCCACAAGAACCCCTCATCAGACTTTCGCATTTATGAAGCTGATGCTTAGGTAAAGCTAAGAGCGATTAAGTTCCATGAAGTGGGCAAAAATAGGGTACAATGGATGCCTGGGGATGAAGTCAGCCTTTGCTCCGGTGAGATCTTGAAGACAAAAAAACAAAGGTATAACTGTTGTGCACAGTTGCATGCTGCCAAAGGCAACACTGTGGAATTGTCTGCAATTCTTGTGGAATTCAATTGGACTTATTTGCCCTCAGCTTCACCTAAGCGTATGCTTCAGCAAGTCCTGTTGAACTCATTCGCCTTCAGCTTCACCCAAGCATAAACTCACAAATGCGAGGACGGTTTACTGAAGACGGGCTTTTGTAAGACAAACCCTGTTCGCATAAGTTCAGTTTTTGTTTGCTTTTGCTTTTTCTGCTTTTGGTTACAGACTCCAATTCTTTGATTTTGCTTTTTTTCCTTTCATCCACAAATTCAGGTTTGTTTTAATTTACTTTTCCTTGCAGTACTGTGTTGGATTATTTTCCTCTTTACTGCTGTCTGTAGTTCTTGCTTCGAACTTTTGACTAGCACGCTTCTTCCCCTCCTGCATCCTGCC